GAGAAAATCTGTAAAACTATAAATACATGGTATTGGAAGAGTTTTGACCAATCAAAACCCACCCATAAATTTTGATAACACCTGATTGGCTACCATATTTATGATACCAGTTGATTGGTCAAAAAATTTCCAGATATCATATCTTTCCCATATCATAGTTGAACCTTTATTTATTAGATTGATTTCTTTCCACGTCTTCAATCCGTTTTTGTCTGATTCGGCTTCCTTCTTTGTTACTACAGCTTGCGTGCACAATTTCTGCTCATGGTTATCTTATTAACAACAACGCGATATAAGATAAGCTTTTGATAAAAATGTAACTAATAGGAAGGGGTCGCTGGGCCTATTAAAAACTGAGGGTGATATTAAGAGAATTCGTCAGAAAATGGAGCATTTCATATAATCACCCCAAGAATCATAAAAGGGCTGTACATTTTATACATTTGTTTGTATAAGCCAAAAGACTATGACACAATGATAAAATTGCAATACCAGTAATAAGGGAGTAGATTTATCAAGTCAGTGTTTGACAAGTCTTTCTACATGGTCTTTTGGACTTTAGTGAATTCATAAGACTGAAATTAGTCATTTTTCCCTCTAGTAACCAAAACATACATGTGTAGAAAAACCCAAAATGACAAAAATGTCAAATTTTGGGAAGCTTTAAATGAATCTCATTAGTCCTTTCACGTGATAAATAGTCTCTAAACACTGAGCTGCTTATCAAACAGCCTTTGTCTTTAATACAAGACCCAAGAGTTTAATTCACCTTTTGGTTATCTGGGCTGTTGGAGGATGTTTCTAAAAAGGCTTACCAAACAACACCCAAATCATTTGTAGAAGTTTAATGGAAACTATTGATATTCATCAAAATTCACCAAGGCATCAATTGGTCTAAGTTATTATGGTATCATGTTTTTTTAGTGGACAAACTATTATTTCTTTATCCACTAACAATCGAATGAGTTGGCATGATATCATTGGGCCAGTAGAGAATCCTTTGGTCACTAGCCAGTAGAAGATTTAGAGCCGCTTGGACTTTGGAACACATCTCAGCCTATAAAAAATTCCATATATGTAGAAAAAGCCTTTGTATGGGTAACTTTTTATGATTAAACTTCAAGAGTAATATTGCTAATACTAATAGCATTTCTGCAAAATTGCAAATGAAGTCATTATGCACCCGGGTTTGCTCCTCGTTGAGCGCAACTCACACCAACCTCACATGCTTTCAACCAGTGAGAATCTCCCTTACTTGAATTCATGGATTAAAGCATCGTATCGGCTGATACAGACACCAATGTTACTGCACGCTACCATTCTAAGCCATTGCGCCATCATTCAACATGTAATATTAAGTGAAATAAAATACTCTTTATTAACTTTACCATTAACATGAATCTAGATAAATATATTGTTTATGTTCAATAATTTTAACTTAAAATAAAAAATAATATTAAAAATTACTATTTTATAAACATTAATGAAGCAAAAAAACTATCAAATTTACATTTGTATCAAAAGTTGTTTTTTATTCTCAATAAATTATACAAATAAAAATATTAATAATAGATAATTATTTTAGTTCTTAGATTTCATAAATTTGTACATTATATATATCTTCAAATTTTAATATTTGTTTATAAATTATTCATTGATATTTTAATTTAGACTAAAATATAACATATTTATTATTTACAAAAAAAAATATTTACAAAATGTTCAAGAATATAATATTAAATTAAATTTATCAAATCTACTAGTGTGAATTTATATAAAAAATGATTTGTTATTTCAGAAAAAAACTATAGAAAACAAAAATGTTAACAATGGAATTGTTACTTTAATAATTAAAAACTATGAATTTCATATGATATGTATCTTAGAAATTTTAATAATTTTGATATACTTTTAGTTAAGATTACAAGTAAAAATATGATAATAATATATGTATCTTAGAAAAATTATAAATTTCATATGATAGTAATTTTGATATTATCAAATATTTTAAAATTTAAAATTTAATTGGTTTTTTTTGTTAATGTTGAAAGTAAAAATAGAAAATAATTGATATAGTAATTAAAATATAATAGTTGCATATTGATGAGGGCAGATTTGGCCCTCCAGTGAAATTGCGGCACGTGGCACCTCGTGACAACTAGGCAAGCACCCAAGCAACAACTTACCAAGTTGGTCTCCCCCCCGGGCACCGGTCTGGCTGGCCTGGCGCGACCTGCACGCGGCCTGGCGCG